CAGACTTTTTACTTATGACATCATAAACACTGTTTCTCCTAGAGTTACACTGAGTATTTCACTTGGCATCCTGAGTAAACTAAAGATCTAGACCGCAACTTATCTGACCCTTGTGGTTTAGGCAAGTTTAGTTAGACATTTCAAGATAACAAAAAAAGAATGAGAGAATCACAGAATAGGTCAGGTTGGAAGGGATCACAGTGGGTCATCTGGTCCAACCTCCCTGCTCAAGCAGGGTCATCCTAGAGCAGGTTACTCAGGATTGCCTCCAGATGGCTTTTGAATATCTCAAGGGAAAGAGACTGCACAACCTCTCTGAGCAACCTGTTCCAGTGCGTGGTCACTCACACAATAAAGGTGTTCTTCCTCACGTGCAGAATGCAAATTAGGAGACTTGTGGTACAAAATCCACTAGAACCTCCAACCAGAATTGCAAACCTTCTGTTCTTTGTAAGAGATGGGTAGATTGCAGAGAATGATCTTGTCTTGCTGGTTTTGCTTCAGACTGGAAATATTTTATATGATGTTAAAGCCAAGATGGCTAATGTATTAAAGGTTTATATTTAGAATAGGAATGATCTTCCAGAACAGTGTTCTCATGAGATTTCTTGCTAAACATGTTCCTACTCCTCCATTGCCACCCCCAACCTTTTCTTCTGGTATTTTTCCAATTCACAATATGAATTCTTCAGTACTTGTTGTCAAATGCTAAAATAGTTTTGGTAAGGGACTTTAGCTGAAGTGACTAGAAATTCTAAGTGATACAGAGTGCTATAAGCATTAGTTTTACTCCTAGAGTTAAAAATATCCCTATTTATAGGGGGTTTATTTTCTCTGCTTCGATATGGGGAATATGTTTCAAACTTACAAAAGCTTAGGAGATCAGTTCAGACAGTCTTTACTTAAATTCAGTGTTTGATAAAGAGTTCTGTTATTGATGTACTAATAATACAAGTCATGTTTTTGGGGCAACTGATTTATTTTTTCCCTTTAAACAGAGGTAAGTCAAACCTGATACTAATTTATCAAGTTTGAAGACAAGGAGGCAGTGTAATAAGGGTACTGAGCTGACAGCAACCACTCCATTCCTACTGTTGCTGCAGCACATGCTGCTGTATGTCTGCATGGCCTCTCCTTCCTTTTACATCATAGCTGTGCCCACCTCTCATAAAACTGCATCAAAACCAACTTTACTGAATAAATACAGCCATAAAATTATGTTTATGTATTCATTAGTCAACACTGTTATTTATGCAGACCATATTGTAACTATTCATTTATGTGTGCAAGTTAAAAATGACTAATACCATTAATTCAGTTAGAACACATATGTCAATTTGGTGAAATACTGATTTTTTTCTAAACTATAGCAAAGGCACCAGGTCTAGATTTACTGCACCAGATTGTTGTTTTTGGGACAGCAGGGATAAGCATCAGTCTCAGTACAAAGAGACAAACAGGAAGAGCATTTAGTTTCATATGAGAGAATTTAATCATCCTCTGAGAAGGAGAACTGTTAAAGGGCATCACATATTTGTCTTTGTTCTGGCATGTCTGTTCAGAATGATGGAGCCATAAGGTGTGGAGAGCATCAACAGGGCTTGTAGATTAGCAGACTGTTACAGGTTCTGGGGTAGGAAAAAATGAAACATCTTTAAAATCAGAGGAATTTGGCTCAGAATGTTATTTCAGTGTTTGGACAAATGCATATTTTATGCAATTTTTCCTATTAGCATAACTAGCTCTGCAGGACCTTCAGCGACTGATGAAGGATTTCTCATAAGTTACTTATTCAGAAAATTTGATATTTCTCTTTCATTCCTTTGATGGAATTCAGTTATTCAGAATTGATAAAGTTGTAACCCACTCCCTCCCCAGTGCAGACACAAATTAAATTCCTTCTTGGCAGGATTAAGTAATGTTAGCAAGCATTCCTTGTGTATAGTTTCCATGTATTGATTTGAAGGATATTAGGTAATGTCAAAGGCAATTAAGACTGGTTCAGATATATGTTAAGGCCTTACTTTCTGCTCCCTGCATGGGCTCTCATTTTTATGTTATGCTTTCTCTCCAGACTAAGGGTCTTGAACAGTTCACAAAAATGTTCTTTGGAAAAAAAAGTAGATGTGTTATTTCACCAATGCTGAAAATCTTACTACTGGTTTAAGGAAGGCTCCTGCCTTTCATGTATTTATTGGAAGAACTTCACATCTGGAAGGAGGTAACTTTTGAAAGATGAACATGAATTCTGCTGCTGCCATGAATAATTAGGGTCTTTGGCTAATTCTAATCCTTCTGAAAATGTCACACATAGTTATTAGAGAACTGTTGAAATTAAGCAAATCCTTTCCCCATTCCATTTCACTTTAAAGCAGGACCTCCACTGCAATTGCTTTGTCAACTCGCTTTTTGCTACTCTGTCCCGGAACTAAGAGCAGAGATCCTGTCTTTCTGGAGTGCTTAGTATCCTGTCAGACATTTCAGCACTGGTGAGGAAGCAGTCTTATTGAACTCCCAGAAGATAAAAGTTGAATTTGGAGGAGTTAAGGGAGTGGGAGGCAGTAGATGGACCAGGCTGAGAGTATAAACTAGCAAGAAGATAAGTGAAAGACAGGCTAATGGGAAAGAACTGTGCAGTAGAGGGGCGGAGGAAACTGGAGCAATAGAGCAGAAAAGCACAGCTTAGGAATTGAGAGGTGCAGTGATATCTGTGCTCACAGAATCGGTCCACTAACCCTGCAGATAATGCAAAAACTCACAGATACCCTGATGACAAACACTCTTCTATTTGTTAGCAAGTTATCAGTAACATGCAGAGTCAAAATGTGTGTCGTGCCTCTGTGGTAACCAAACCAGGGGACAGAACAGTTACTGAGATCACTCAGTTCAGGTGAGTGATCTGAGCTGCAAGTCTTAAGCCTCAGTTTTGCCAGTGGCCATGATGGACATGGGTGTGATACTGTGTAATTCTGATACTGGCTGGCAAGTGAATAGTAGAAGCAAAGCACTACAAAGTGTCATGCTCTGAGGAGTCTTATTTTGCTATTTAGGAACATTTCTGTATTGCATATTAATCTATGCTTTTGTAATTAAACATGGAGATTATAGCCTGAGAGAAACCTTAAAAACTTCAACAGGGGTGAATGTAAAGTTGTGTACTAAGGAAGGAATAAGTCCTGGAAATTATATAGGTTGGGACCTATTCAGCTGAAGATGACCTGAGACAGGCAGTGGAATAGGTTGCCCAGAGAGGCTGGGCCATCTCTGTCCTTGGAGGTTTTCAAGACTTGACCAGATGAAGCCCTGGGCAACAAATCTGACCTTGACTTGGCACTGCTTTGAGCAGGAGGTCAGACTAGAGACCTCCTGAGGTCCCTTTCGACATAAACTTTTCTGTGATCCTGTGATAATGTAGTTAAAATTTATTCATCCAGGTCCTACAAAAGAAGGTGGGAACTGCTGGCAGTAAAATGAGATTATTGTCAGTGGGTTTGTGAACTATCACATTCCTGGTATCTGCAAATAAGACTTCATTAACAAAATGTCACTTGCCTTTATTATTGCAAAGGTAACCTTTTGAAAGTGAACTGACCATGCAGTAATAGAGTCATTTCATTTGGAATCTGCAGATAATCTGAAATAATAATACATAAGACTATGAAATGCTTCTATTAATCTCTGTGGGATATTAGCAGTAAAGCCCAGTGATAGCAATCTGTATATAAGCATTCTTAATAATTCAGTATGACTTAAGCTTCACAAAAGAGAGAGTTAGATGTATTATTAAAAATACTTAATCTATGAATGACAGTTCTCTCCTATAATTAATGTAATGGCTTTTACTCTAGCAGGCACTCAGTAATATGTTACACTCAAAACTATACATTGTAACAATAATATATGAATCCTAAAACTATGAACTACCTTGGTTGAGAGGGTATCGTCGCCTTGTTGTTGGATTTATGGTGATTTAGCCTCTCACTTTGGGGACTACTGGTCTTTTAAAGACTTGTCCTTTAGGTTTATATAGTTGAGGTAATTATTTGGGAGTTGAAAGGACTCATTAGCAGTCCCTTCTCATCTCTGGTACCATTCCATAAATTAGCCATTGGAAATTTCTTTCAGTGCCTTCAAATTCTTTCATTATCTAGCACAAAAGGTCATTTCCCATAAAATCAAGTGCTCCAAGACCTGCTAATGTAAGGACATCCTGAACTTGTGAATCTATTAAATCTGTTTTCACAATCTATTTTCATGATTGGATGTTGTTTGGTTTTGAGTGCTGTCTGTTGCTCACCAGATGAACTCTGTTATTACTTGTCTAATGACTGAATTTTTCTGGTCCCTTCATAGAGGTCCTCACAAAGTAAAAAGCCATCTTAAGTGAAGAAATCCCAAATCATGTCTGTGCTTTGACCTATGATCATAGTTGAATAGTGATAGCTTTGAAAATCAGCATCTGAGTATCTCTTGTACAAAAGCAGCACCACCATCTATCCTCTTGTGATGACTCTGTGTGAAATTGGGATCAGACTGTATTACAGTCATATTGCCCAACAAATATGCATGGTAAAGACAAATTCTTTACTGTTCAAAAGTACCAAATCTGAACAAATGCTACAATAGCTGTAACATTCTGAAACTTAATCTGTGAAAGAAAGCGAGGCCTTTACAGTCTTTTGTAAAACATCTTTCTCCACGGGTTTTACAAACACATTATCATGATCTGCTTGTGGGTACTGTGGGATACAGCCCACGAAACCAGTTCATGTAAAAACTTCTTCTAGGAAGAGTTATTAAGCTTGAAGTACCTTATGTGACCCATCAACAAATACATTTAAAAGGAGTAGCCCCTGGCTGAAGATGAGAGGAGAGACTACAAACCAGTTTTTAATCAATCTGTACATAATTTATTTTCCATTTCTTACTGACTTTCTACTTTGTTGGGAGTTTATCTCATGGTCCAGCTTTCTGACTAATTTTTGCTGTTGCATTCCCAGGTTACAGGTGTGTGCCACGGAGTAAGAACAGCAGTCCCTTCTGGAAATGGCTTGGGAATACCTCCTTGTATGGAGGAAGCAGGAGCATTTGTGAGATTTTGAAGACAGAAGAGTGAAAGATGAGGTGCTAAATCTGAGACTGTGGCTGTTAAAATGAGCTGCTGAACACCAGAGAGCAAGGATTACTGCATTACCTAACAGACTGCTGCAGAACCTCTGAGCTTTTTATTTCCAGTAATAAAAAAGAAATCCATGTGCGTCTCAACATGTGGATGTAATTCTGTTTGTTTGCGGAAAAGAAGTGTTAAAATAACAATTTTTGAAAGCAACAGTTTTTCCTAAAGGAAAAAAAATACTTCTTATACATAAAATCTACATCCTATACTCTGTATTTTTCTAGTTTCTTATTCCAGATCCCTTCAGAGGATAATGCTGCATCCTCAGCTCCCACACCCTCCATCCTGGTCTCTGTGATAAACATTATTTCAAAGGAGCACAGCTGGGTGCTGGACTGTAATTTCTCATGCAGCCAGGATCAGATCCATTAGTTTATGTGAAGGTTAGGACCAAGACCATGGAAGTATATGGGGAGCTAATAGATAGACTGGTGTTCCTGCTGTGTTCACAGGGGCTTAAACCAGGGAGAAAATGGTCAGGCACATCCATATTATTTTTGCCTTTTGCTTCATGATTTGCAGTAGTCTCATTCATAAATGACAAAGGAACCTCACCCTGCTGTGAGGTCCTCATACCACAGAGAGCTGTAATGAGTTTGTAACAAGATGGAGATAAGGAAGACTTTTTAGTGATTACTCAGACAAATCTCTGAGTACAAATCAGAGATGTACTGAGTGAAGGGTATATCTTTCCATCACTCTCCATCACTTAAACGTCTGAGGATACTTAAGGTATTCTCATGGTGTTATGTAAGAAGAACTCAGTAAGACGAAAGTGTCCTAAATGCATCTTTATAGATTTTTTCCTCTCACTGTATGTCAGAAACTTTTGTAATTTGACAGCCACTGGCAATGATTAATGGCTAGCAATATGGCCAGGGGCAATGTATGTTTCAAAATCAGTACCAGGAAAGACTCTGTGATCTTTGGCTGTGGAACTGTCTCGCAAAATGAAAAATAAGTGTTTTGCCTGTGTGTTCGATGAAGAGCTCCAAATACATAGCTGGAATGTAGGTGAGAGACAGTGAAAAACAGCAGAATATTCACCTTGGAGTCTGGTGCTGAACGGACATTTAATGGTTGTTTCCACTTCTGTCTTTCATGATAGCTAGAGTATATTTATATTTTTCATAGATGTGCATATATGTGCAGGTGTATAGATATAAGTGCACCAGAATGAAATGTTTTATTTTCATTTTCTTAGAAGCATCAGTTTTTCTGTGCTGAATCTTAACATAGGCAATATATATCCAGATACCGAGGTAACTGTGACAAAATAAATAAATATTTCCAAGCACGACTCCTGTACCTCATTTACTACTCTTTTCAAAATGTGTGGTTATGAATAAACCATTTACTTCCACAAACATATGCTCTGCAGGATTTCAGATGCAAAAAAATTAAAAGGTCAGAGAATTACAATGGGTTTACTGCACCCCTTTATGACGCAAAGCTCATTAGTACTTGCGATGTTCTGTCCTTCTTAATTAAAGCATCAGTTCACACGTACAGTCTGGAGCAGCTCAATTATGAAAGGTTAGATCCATCCGTTTATTCCTGATTGGTTTATTAATTACTGGTCTTGATTCTTGATTCAAATCAACACTCTTTCCTCAGGATAAAAGTGCATATTATGTTAAAAATAATATACCATACTTTTAAACAAGAAGATATTGTAAACATTTCAAAAGAAAGCTTCCACTGGACTTGGCTTTGATCGAATTACCATGTACCATGAAGTCTGACTTTAACAGGTAACCACTGGCAAATTTCTACATAGTTTTGTTACTAAACCGCCTTCAATCCATATAAGGATAGAACAAATGCTGTGAGTTGAAACTCTTTTTCAGTTTTGTAAGAAAGTTTCAAATATATAGCTTTCATCTCTGGTTTTCAAAATATTTTTAAATGGGACTTCTGATGGTTCTGTGGCATTTTCTCTTGAAAACTTTTAGCTTGCAAACCTCCTGTATCGCATCAGCTGATGCGCTCCAAAGAAGTGGAAAAACTTTTGATAGTAAATCTAAAACAGATCTCTTGTAGAAATGGCTAAGTTGTGTCTGGAGACACTGTGGATGCTGTTAAAGACAAGGTGCAAAGGCAGGAACTTATCCTTCCTTCCTTGTTTTAAATGTGTGCTTCAGCAATTTGGGTACTGCATATACCTGAAAGCCAGCAAGAGCACTCTCCCAGTTGATGGCATTTAAGAAAGGCTTGTCTTTATTTACTCCAACAGTAAATGTCTTTTTCACCTAGTGGGAAAGGGTGGGCTGATTTCACTTTGCTGAGCTACTCTGCGGTGGTTCATGAGATCTTGGGCTGGGTCCCTGTCCCCTCTCCATCAGAGGATGGACGCTCCAGGGCTGGCCTCTCCCCGGACCTGGGGCGCTTTTCATCGGATTTACCTGACCCTGAAAGGAAAAACAGTAATTAAACCCCGTCCACCAAAGCACTTCAAGTTTAGGCATACAATTATCTAGTCAGGATTTGGCCTGAACTGATCCCAGCCTACGCTCTTCCTCTCACGCTGTCGTGACAGGATTTCAGTCAGAACCACGCGGCGCTGGCAGCAGCCGCTGCCCGAGCGGCAGCAGAAGCCCCTCGCCAGCCTGCACAGCCGAGCCCCGACCCCCGCGACCTCCACGGAGGGAACGCCGCCCCTCGGGGCCGCCCACCGCGGCTCCTCGGCGGGCGGCGGAGGCGCGGCGGAGGGGCCGGGGCGCCCCCGGCGCGGGCGTTGCGGGGGTCTGGGCGGGCTCGCGGAGCGGCAGCGGCTGCGGGGCGCGGCGGGCCGCCCGGCCCCGCGGCGTGTGCGGTGCTGCCCGGGCACTGCGCCGCGCCCGCATCTCGGGGGGTCATCGCTCTCCCGGTGAAGTGGAGGTGAAGGGGGGCGCGGAGGGCTCTCCCCGCCATGGCTTTCGCCGCCTTGCTACATGCTTCGCTGGTGCCTGCCCCCCTCATCTTCTTCGCCATCTGGCATGTGAGTAACCCGCCCGCATTCCCCTCCCTCCGGTTAAAGCGGGCCCAGCCCTGGTGTGGGTCGTGCCACGAGGGGCAGCGGGGCGGAAGGGGGGCTTGGGGCTGGGCTGGGCGGGGCTGGGGCCTGGGTTGTGTTGGGGTTGGGGTTGGGGTTGGGGCAGCTCCCCGGGGACCCGGGGAGATGCGTCCCGCGGTGGGAGCGGGCGCGTCCCGCGCTTCCCCCCGCCTGTGGCCCCGGTACCAGGACGGACAGACCGCGCCGTGACACCTGTGCGTGGGTGTCGGCGTTTAGTACATTTTTATAAGCATAAAGACCGGTGGCCGCGCGTCTCTGACAGCTTGGTCCCCGCTCCCGGGAAGCGCTCGAAGGCTGAGCGCTGCCCCAGCCCTGCGCTGAGGGCTGAGTTTAGGGATGCTCGTGGCTCCAGCACCGGCTGTGCTCAGACGTGAGGTCTTCCAGGTAAGAACAGCTGCTTTCCTTGCCTGCGAATGGAGCGTATTGAGGGCGAAACCGCCCCATACCTGATGCAGCAATAAGGTTGCTTTTCTTTCAGTAATTACTACATGAATAACTTCTTGAAAGGTCGGGGTTGAATGTAAAACTCTCTCATCCTTCTAATGCGTGAACTGGATATTGAAATCCACCTTCATTAATTTCACTGAAAAGTGTTGGTGCTGACTCCTTGCTGTACCCTGGGTGGCTGTGGTAGGCATAAGGATGTAACTTGGTGTTTATTTCCTCAGTAGTGAAATTATTATTAAGCATAATTTTGAAATTCTCTTAAACTGCTATGTATGTTGGAATTATTTACACTGCATGTGTGCTACACGAATAACTCCATGTCATAGACATTCAGGATGGAACAGGATAAGCTGAAAAATAGAACAAGTCTCAGGAATACATCTGCAGCTACCTGATGGAGTAAGATAAAAAAATCCTCCTTTACTAACAAGCAAGGGAGATGCGGAATATATTTTTATTGAAATGAGAGTAAAACTGCTAGCTTAGTTGTATTAGCACTATGAAACAGATTCTTCTGTTGTGAGCATGCCTTGACATTTAATTATTTTGTACTCTTAACGGGGCAGTTACAACTTTTTTTTCTAATTAATGAAACCACAAAAGTGTGGTGGTAATGCCAAGTACTGTAGGGATGTCAAGTACTGCAAGGCTGAAAAGAATTTCTAGCAGTCAGCTACTGCATTACTCTGAAACAAAGGAGTGGTAAGATTTGGATGATTACTCATGTTTTCTTTCCTCCTCTTCCACAAATCCTTAGATCCCCAAAAGTGAGAATTCTACAGCTTCTTCAAAGGTTTTGGGGTTAATAGGGTATTCTGCTCTGAATCTCTAGCTAAAATTAAAATGTTTTCATTATTGTAACAATTTTAGTAATTGTTTTATATATTTGAAGCCTATTATTGTGTTCTCTTTTTCCTGGACTGAAGTTGTTGTTGTCTGAAGATATACAGTACTTCAAGAAAATCTGGCAAATTATTCTTCCATAAGTGAGTGTAATTACTGCAAATTTACTCCTAGTGAAACAATTTTTCAACTTGCAGTCTATAAACTCATGAAGAGCAATCTCTTAGTACTGGAGCTCCGTAAGGCAACTAAGAAATAAAACCTTTTGTCAATATGCTTAAGTTTATGCAGCGTGTTTCTTACATCTGTTGAGAAATTGTTGAGGAATTGAAATTGAAAATGGCTGTAAATGCTGTTCTGTTGTCATAGTGCAAGAATTGGTACCATCTTTTCTTATAAATAGATAATAATTCTATTAAAATACATGGTTTGAGAAGGAAGGTCATAGAGTAATAGATTCAACACCCTGCCAGAATAAACTTTTAGGCATACGTGTTATCCACATATACAAAACACAAGGAATTTTATTATCCTTTCTATAAGAATTGTTATAGTGTGGTTTCTTGTGTACATTATGTATTGAGTCATAGGAGTTTCTTTTACCTTAAATATCTCAATTGTAAAAATCTTCCCAAGAAACAAAACTCCTACTCCTTCCTTGTGGCTTGATTGGTTTTTTTTTCACTGTAATATTCTTGTAAGGGACAGTAAATTTATTGTAAATAGGTTCTCCTAATGGCAGTGGAGGATTTCAGTAATTAAATTTTCCTGTTAAAATGCTTTTTGGTTTTTTGGTTGTTAAGAATAGGCTGCTGATTAATCTTAGCATCCCATCACTTTCAAAGATTTCTGAGGTTCTAAGACTGAGTAAGAACTTATATTTTGTAAATTATTTTAAACTGTAAGCAAAAAACCTGTAGCATTTGGACTTGATATTGTTCTAACCTGAAGCTGACTGAGGTTTGGGCAGTTATCTGGAATGAATTAACAGTGGATCAAATAAAATTTCATTTTCTTTCTGCTGGCAAGCCAGATGAATTATAATTTTCATTACTATTGATCTAATAGGTTCAATAGTAACTATAAAACCAAAACAAGAGAGTAAAATGAGGATTTCTTTTTTTGGACACTGCTTTTCTGATGCCTTTATTCTAAGAAGTTAAAGACTCTGTACATTCCTGTGCTCCCTGCTCTTTGGGAACAGACAAAATGAAGCTGGTCAGAACGTTTTAAAGGAATTGTAAATAAAATACACAAAATCCTTTAGACATCTGGAACATGTAATAATTTTTTTCCTGCTTCTGAGTGATCTTCTTGTATAGATAACCAGTGGTGTCTGTCTTAATAAAAAAAAAAACAAAAACCCCCAAAACCAAGTTAGATACTATCAGAAACATTTGTTTAAACTCTGCACAAGAATTATCTTAATGTATTCTTGCTGAAACTTTACTCATACATGTCAAATGAAAGAAAAGAGATGAAGACTATTTCTCCATGTACTACATAGTACCAGCATGATTCCCTGTGGTACAGGAGTTGCTTAAGCATGGAGGTTGTTCAATGACCACAGTACCTCAAGCTGTAATGTCACAGTGTTAGAAACATCGTGTAGAAGGGGATGTTTTCATAACACTTTTGTGGAAAAGTACTAGAGAATTTAGTAGAGGATGGTGACCTTTCTGCTTGGTTTCTTGATTTGAGTATAAATACATGGCTCTTGCTGTAGAAACACAGTGACAGTAGTGCTTTGTTTTACTAGCTGCAGTGTCATTGAAATGTGTTTTGGCCAAGGTGTCCTCTCAAATGGACTAATGCAGCTGAGCATGTTTTGGTGTGTTTATTGATACAACTAACAGAATTTGGTTTATTAACTACATGATTTGATATCCTCATCTGATCTTGTTGTAAACTCAGGAACAGAGTGTATGGTCTTCCTACCAACCATCACAGACACTTAGTTTTGCTGTCCCCAGCTCTTGTTCTTGTTTACATACAGCTTTTTACTAATCAGTTTTATTCCATTCCTAAACTGTCTTGAACTAAGATTTATCCTCTTAACATCTAACTGAGCTATGTCAAGTCTGTTTGAAGTCCCAACAACACTTGACATACTGCAATCATTTCTAGTGTAGCTCCACTAAGTTGTGTCTGAAGTGAAGTTAACTAAAGCTGACCAAATTGTGGCTTATTTTTCCTCACTTAAAACATGGCATGCTTGTGTGAAGTCCCACAGCACTATTATTTGCTTTAAAAATATTGGTTTGGGGTCATCTGAGTCCTTCCATTTTTGTGTTATTTTAAGATGAAAATACTTGCTTTGAAATGTGTTACTTAAAGGACAGCCTTAAGAAAAGAGCTTTTCAAAGTGTTCAATTTTATAATACCACAGTAAAACAAGTCATGAATCCCAAGAATGTTACTGTTTTAAAAAAGAAGGATTTCTGTGGTGGGCTATCTCTTTTTCAAGTCATGCAAGCATATCTTTGCATGTGTGTGACTGCTTCATAACCAATGCTCCTTAAGGGTTACCAGAAAGTAGGAGTATCATGCCAGGAAAAAAACTGATGGTGCCAGCCTGAGAAGCTGTACCATATTGAATGTTTTTTGGAGTATTTTGATATGATTGTGAACTCAGATGAATCCAGGAACAGCTCTTTGGCACAACCAGAATTGTGTGCGCTGAAGTTGATGGCAGCTACTTGAGCCAAGTGTAAGAAGAATAAAGCAGCAGAGCATGGAGCTTTTTTGTTTTATGCCCCACCCCCCCTTATTTCTCTTTTGAAGTGTGAGGATAGTATTAATCCTGATAAACTACCTTAATGTGACTTTGGCTTCACTTAACAGGTACCAGTTCACAGGTATACTTAAAAGCAGTGGGAGGCAGTTACTGAACAGAGTAATATAGGCTAAAATTGACTTGTAGTTTTAAGTCAAAGCATCCTTTTTTTTTTTTTTGCAAACACCAGGGAAAGAAGCCCTTGGAATCTATATTCAGTGTTGTTTCTGATAATGGCTTTCAGTATTATGTTTCTCAGACAGCTTGAATTATCCATGCCTTTTTTTCTCATTTACTAAGTGTGAGTAATGGAACTAAACTGTCACTTTATTTAACATCTATTCCCAAAATGTCTTTGCCTTTTGACAGAAGGTGCTATTTACATATAACATGTTGCCACTTCTGTTATTTTTCACTGTACTGTCCTGGTGATGTGGACTGTATTTTATTAGTACTTAAGATTCAACAGCTTAGGTAAAAAATTCTGAAGCTCTCCAAGTTACATGTGGAATTTGGTGAATATTTGGTATCTGATTTACTTAGGCATCCTCATGAAATTCCTAGCCTAATTTTGAAGATGCATAAAAAGTACACGAGAGGATCCTTTAAGTCTTGGATTGATAACAAATTCAGTTGAGCAAAATGCTTTGGTCACAAACTGTGTGCTGGTCTATCAATGTTCTCTGTTTCTTACTGTTTCTGTAACTTAGATTTGGAGGATAGATCCCTGCCTTACCTGAAACCAGCAAAGAGATCTATGAGCTCACTTGAACCTGTACTTCTCTCCACAAAAGGCTCCCAGTCTCAATTTAACTTCTTTGCAATGCTTTAAAGCGTGTCATGAAAAGGAAGTAATTTC